CAAAATAACCCATATATATATATATATATATATATATATATATATATATATATATATATATATTTGCGATCGTACAGCTAAAGTGGAAAATGAATTCGCCGAGAAGAGACTCTTCGCTAAACTACTCGTCTTCTCTCTCTCTCTCTCTCTCTCTATACTTTGCAGGTTTGTAGGTTGAAGATGAACAACAAACGTTTCACATATCTCTGTAAAATTCCGGTCGGTAGTAGTCTTCAGAAGTACTGACTTGACAAATGACAACTAAAAGAACGGTTAGTTCTCAACATTGACTAAATTTGTTGACTTACACTCAGCGACAGATGTGTTTTCTTTTCACTGGCCTGTGCTTCCAACTGGTCTGGAGTGGGAAAGAGACAAACAGTCTGTCACCTCATACAATATAAATCATGACTGCAAAACACTGGAGACAACGTCGTCAATATTGCTCGCTCTCCAACTATGGACATAAAAGCTGATGAATAAACAAACGGCAGTATGGTATCACCACTTCTCTGTCTCCACTGATCTCCAGATGTTGATGTTCACACACATTTGAACAGCATTCGGAAATTATTTGCCGCATGTTTCTGTACAAGGTATTTATCATCCTTCAGTGACTAATACTGCAGAAGCACACATTCACGTCAAAAGACAAAACGCTTGTACGAAAAATTGCGAAACTGTGACTAATTATATTGTGACTGTACAGCCAAAGTGGAAAATGAATTCGCTGTAAAGGAACCCTTCGGTGAAATACTGGTCTTCTCTCTATTAATGTTCCAACCGGGATTTTTCATGAACTAAGAAAAAATTTGTAAATTCTGGTTTAGCAATACATTGATAAAGCTATTAGCAGCATTAAATAGTTAAACGTTAGTAAAAGCAATATCATTTTGTTTTTCATTCATTGGAAATTATAGAAGCTTTTATAACAATGAGTATTATATCCTCAATGCCCAAATTTTTTTTCAAACTGTTAAATATGAATTAGGTTTGAACGCATATGCTATAATCTCGACATATCTGACGTTTGAATATCTTTCAGGCATTATTTCCTTCTTATAATTACTCGAAGTTGAATACAAAACTTCATTTTTCCATCAGTGTTTTCTCACAAGGACTAATTGAAAAAATTTATTGTCATCATCACATTCTAATTAACTTCTTGAAAAAAAATTTTAATGATATTTTGCTTTGTAATATGAAAAATTGTTTTTCTTGTTTCTACATTAGTTTTACTGTTAATTTGTTGATTGAATTTTCAATTTTCAATAAGAACACCGACACAACATTCTGTTAACCAGTGAATCACGTATATCACATTGGTAACATTCATATATGAGAATAAATGTGTTAGACATTTCAGTGTTGCTAAATTTTCAACGACCTTCACTTCGTTCAGGTATTCTTTGATTAAGTTTAAACCAGTCAGTAATAATAATAGCATGTTGTATTCTATGCATAGGAATGCATTTGGTGTAATTGTATTATTTGAGTTAAACAGTTTAATTGCATACCTTCTATTATCTTCCTAGACCACAAACTCAGCGCTTACTTCAAATTAAAGTTAGACAATGAAAACTTCACAAAGCTGAACTATTGGAGAAGATGTGTAACTCAGATGGATAATACTGAATTAGCAGTGTTCTCTGATCTGGTTGGTTTAACTGCGAAGCTTTCACCGTCCCTCTGGACAACACTGCTTCAGCTCAGGTTTCAGCATAAAATGGACTTATTTATTAATTTTTTTGATTACAGCTTGATTCCACACCGTAATTTGGTACACGTATGGAGTTTTCAGCATGGATATCGGTAGGCCAAATTTTGCAGGCCGATCATAGATATCAGGTGTGCGTCGGTAGGGGATCGAACCTCAGACCATGTGCATGATCGGTGAGCGTCATAACCGCTGTACCACCGACGCATATTCTCCATGAATGATGGATTTGTATCTCCTAACAACCATTATCGTGACTGGTTGTTAATTTACGTGTTTAATTGTTCATTTTTGTTGACCTGGAATTTGACCTTTCTTATCATGTTATCTACTTTTTATTAGCTGGTAAATGTGGTCTACAATAATGTCTTTTTTAATCGCTACGTCATGTTCATCGGTGGCACAGAGGTGATGACTATCGCCGATCATACACATAGTCCTGGATCCGATCCCCTGCCGACGCACACCTGATATCTATTGTCGGCCTGCAAATTTCGGCTACCGATATCACATGCTGAAAATTCTATACCTGTACCCAAAAATACGGTGTGGAATCAAACTGTAATCAAAAATTTAAAAAAATTCACTTGAGTACCAGGCTTCTGAGAATTCCCTGGCACTTTTGGTTTTTCCTCTATTTAAAATCGCGACAGTATCTCAATCTAACAAGCGTCCATAATTATCTACATGCATTGAGATGAAAGAATATATATAATGCTTTTTACAGCCAGTTTATGTTCTTGGATTCGAATTCTAAGGGAAACCCTACTATGACCGATGTAATGTCTTTTACAGTTCATTCAATTTAGTTTGTAAATAGTATTATATCTTATATTCTTTTTCTATTGGATCTTTTGGCTTGCACAATATCGAATGAAGTGATTGTGGTGGCTGGCTTACGTGCTATATCTATTTCAAACGGTCTTAATATTCTAACTGTTATTTCAGAGATATTTTATGTATATGTGGCAGAATGAATTTTCTTGTAATCTTTGATGTTGGCTTCACAATTAAATCAACCAGCTCAGAGAACACAACACAGCTGAACTATCCCAACAACCTCTGAGAATACAACTACGCCAGTATCATCCAGCTGCGCCATAAATCTTCTCCATTCCTTCTAAGAATGCATTCTATTAGTATCGTAGTCAGTATCTACAGAATAATCTTCAGTCGGAGATAAATAAGTGACTATAAATTGAAGATGAAAATCTCCCCTAGTGATGCCTAAAACAAGATGGCTGAAGTAAAGAGAACCAAATGGGAGCATATTCTTAATTGCTCATAAACCAGTAGTATATACTATCGTACTGTTTTTCTTTGTCTTCCTGATTACCATTTATATCATCAAGTAGGTCACATATATGTCAGATTTAATTCAGTGTTGCTGATCGATTGCACAGACTAGAAGGAACTTCAGTCGACCAGCAGCAACCAAGAAGTATTTTTCTTCATCGTATACAGTATTGGTATAGATATCTGAGCCAGCAGTGATGTTGAAAATAACATTAAAAAATGAAACAGTGCTAAACAATAACTCAAAAATGTTTCGAATAAAGAGAAGTCCATGCCTGTTTGTATTCGCCAGAGGGAACTTTCTCAGTTGGAAGATGAGTTTACACTTAGTCAAATGCTATAATTCGTGAATACCTATACATATATATATATATATTCCTTCACGTTCCCAGTGGAACATTGGACTTTAAGCCTCTAGCTTGAAGTTTCTGCAGCACTGTTTATTTTTACAGGATGGGGTTGCTAGCCTCATGTCCAGCCTTTTCTCTTTACCAGCTTTTATTACTGGCGATGTAAAGGAGTGCGTTGGTTGGGGATCGAGCTCCGGGCCATGTGCATGGTCGGCGAGTGTTCTAACCGCTGTGCCACCGACATATATATATATATATTATATATTAATGTAAAACCGCAGTAACTGCTTCAGATGAATGTTTCCAGTAATATGACTTTCATTGCCAACGGTAGAGTTTGACACTTTAAAAAATAGATCGGAAGAAGCCTTCATATGGTGCCTGTATATGGTTCAGATAGCTAAGACTCTTTTCAGGTGTGCACACCCATGACTTTGCCGGAAATCATGGGGTTTACTGAGAAGTGAGCATCAGGTAAATGAGCTCACCCCCTGATGAAGTCGTGGGTGCGTGCTGCTGAAGAGTCTAACATCGTAGTTTGTTGACTTAGCGAAGTCAAACCCTCTAGCTATATTCGACGGGAACCAAGTTGAGATAACATTTTCTCTGCCCTCTCCCATCTTAACGTCCCTTTCTATCAGATAACAAGTAATACGATGGACTTATTTCAACGACGGTTACACATACATAGACATTTGAAACAAGGATTACTTTCTTCATTCCTTTTGTTCCCAGTGGAACACAAAGCTCTAAATTTCCAATATTAATGTTGTTTTTTATAGGGTGCAGTTGCTGACCTCATGTCCCCAAACCTCCCTTCTTTTCTGAGCTTACCATTTTCTCTTAAACTAGGTGGGGTTTCGGAGTGCGTCAGTCGGGAATGGAATCCAGACGCTTGTAACACATTTTTACCATTGTATCACCACTCCGAAACAAATGCATCAAAAACCAATCTCAATTACCAAGATATACATAAACAGCAACAACAACATGCAGCTGTAAGACGACTCCACTTGAAGACATCGATCACATACATCTGCTCAAAAAGAAAGCGTATCACCGAAATCAAAAAAGATAAAAAGGGAACACTCAAGTACACTGAATTGTTCAAGGCAAATTAAAAAAAACTAACTTCACCGTACTAAAAATTTCGTCTTTAAAAGAAAACCACAAAAAATGAAACCGAAAACAACAAACAAAATCAAGAAAATAGAGACAATCTGGAAAGGATATGTTATATGCAAAGTAAAATTTTCAAATCATGTATGCATGACATATGATTTGCAAAAATCAATATTCATGTATGAAGTGACCAATAAGAAGCTTCCCAATAATGTCTGTCTACAATTATATATATATAAATCCGAATCAAAATTTGAGTGCAATAAAATTATACCCAGTTCCATTTTGATAAGTGCGCATTATACCTTTGAAAAAAGCGAACATACACACACATAAACAAACAAAATTCAAAACTTTAAATTGAGGTGACAATTTTTTTAATTTGAAATTTAAAAGATACACACGTAACGTAGAAAAATCAGTTATATATATTTATTTATTCATGTTTTACGGATAATATCTTGTATTAAAAAAAGTAAAAAAAAAACAAAGAAGAATAATTTGAAACTGTAACCATGGATAATTTAAATTCTGATGAGAGCAATTACAACAATGAGAATAAATGGCGGATAACGCAACAACCAACCTTTGAAAATCCTTTAAGTATGACAGAGGAAACAGAATTGATGGAAACAGTAATAACAACAACTATGACAACATTGCCAACGGAGAACAATAACACCAGTGATGGTCCACTATGGAGTGAAGTAAGTTAATTCCCTATTTTTGTTCTGATAGTTTTTCTTTATTGACTGTTTTGCCTTTTTTGGATTTTGTAAAAGTTTTCAAAAATTTATTATGCTGTAGACGTGTTTTTACTGAGGCCTGTAAGCACCTCTCTGATAGGAATATATATATATGTGCTTAGATTGTCAAGCGACCTTTGTTCGACTGTGGGATACTTTTGGTATATATATATATATAGATGACTTTGATATACTTCAATACAAAGTGCTGAGTATATTATTGTTATTTTTCCTTTAGTTCCTAGAGGAACATAGGGCTTCATCCACACGTCTCCATTGCGTTAGGTTCTCCGCTTACATTCGCACCTGGCTCCACGTCTGCTCACATGTTTTGATCTCCTCTTCACATGACCTCCCCTTCCATGTCATCTTCACACTGACCACCAACTCGCCGATTTCTATTCGGGATCCAGTCGAGCAATGGCCTGGCGTGCGATGTCACTCACTTGATGGTTTTCTCAGAGTAAGACCAGTTCATCTCCATTTCTTCCTGCTTATTTGTTGCACAGTTGGTTCCTGCTGGGTTGGTTCGTTCATTGTCAGAGATCCCTGTTCCTGATCTTTTCTGGCCATCTGATCTTGAGTATTGAGCGAAGACAGCTGTTGATGGACATCTCTGGTTTGTTCGAAGTGCCATTCGTGACGGGGCTCCAAGTCTCTGATCCATGTGGTAAAGGGCACTGATTTCACATTGGAGTTGAAAATCGGGATCTTATTTTTCATGCTGAGTGCTGCTGATCTTTCTCCACAGAGACCTGAGTGTAATGAAAGCTTTCCTTGCTTTTCCAATATTCGCCTCGAAATCCTCATCAGTTCCGTTCGCCTGTAGTTGAAACTATGTTTCCCAGGTAAGTAGGTAAAGTAGGTTGCTTCTTTCAGATTCATCCCATTGATGTTGATTGTTGTCTGTTGTCGTTGCTGTGGCTCTTGCTGTTGGCCAGGAATATTTGTCACGTTTGTCTTCTCTGTGTTCACCTGAAGTCCTATATTTGGTGCTTCTTCTGCCAACTTGTTGCTTTTCACTTGCATATATTCCGGTTTTTTGTGGGAAATCAGACATATATCATCAGCGAAGTCCAGATCCTCTAAGCTGAGTATATTATTACGTTATTATTTCCATAGGTTCAGAGTGAAATATGAGTCTTCAACAGCACATCTCCATTTTACCCTGTTCTCTTCAGTCCTATTCAACTGGCTCCTTACTAGCCAATAAGCTTTTATCTTTACCTCATACAGTCTTCTCTACATAAACCTCGTACCCACGTTCAAGTCACAGTTTCTCATTTAGGTTTCACTGGAGAGCTAGCATTGCACGTGATGTATGTATGTGTTTGTTTCGTCTACTATGCTTCTGTTCACATTAATACTGTTGTAGAAAGTGGTGATAGAAAGTGAACTGAAAATCTTGATCTCATCAAGACTCGAAACAGCAGTCTTTGAATTTACTGTTTCACCTCCAGAATTAGTGGATTTGATTTCTAATTCTGTATAGAGAATGGGAGACTGTGGGAAACGAGGAGACAGGAATATCCTGGACCGACCGACGCGAAGAACCTAGAAGACCTGGATTTCGCGCGTGGATGATTTATGCTTGGTGTCACACAAAATCGAAGACTTACAAGCGAAAACCGACCGACAAACTGGTCGAAGAAGCAGTCGGAGAAGACAGGACTCCAGGTGAACATAGGTGAACAAGACGGAGGTTATGAAAATAACCAACCAACCAACCAACAACAACAACAACAGCAGCAGCAACATCCAGCGTCAATCACCATCGACGGGAGGGATTTGAAAGAGGTTACTTCATTCACTCACTTATCTAGCATTGAGCATTTTCTCAACTACAGGCAGTCGGAACGGACGAGGACGTCAAATCTAGCGAGAATCGGAAGGCGAGAAACTCATTCATTCATCAACCTGAAATCAATCTGGAAATCTTCGTCACTCAGCCAACATCAACAACAAAATTCGGATTTTCAATACAAACGTCATGTCAGTCAGTTCTTCTATATGGATCAGAAACTTGGCGGGTGGGTCACAAAGAATATTTCCAAAAGGCTGCAGACCTTTATTAACAACTGTCTTCGCTGGCTCTATACTGAAGATCAGATGGCCGGGCCGGAAAGAATCACCAACAAGGAATTATGGGAACAAACAAAGCAAGAACCAATCGCCCAACAACAGCAAATATGCAGGAGAAAGTGGAGATGGATTGGACACTCGCTGAGGAGACCGCTGGGTGACATCGTGCGCCAAGCCCTCGAGTGGAACCCGAAAGGGAAGCGGCGTGTGGGACGTCCAAGGGTGACATGGGGGAGATCGTGTGAAGAGGAGTTGAAAGAATATGGACTAACATGGATGCAGGCGAAAAGTACAGCAGAAGACAGAAGAAAATGGAGACGTGCAGTTGAAGCCCTATGTTCCACTAGGAACCCAAGGAAGCAATAATAATAATAATAGAGAATGGGAGAATGTACTCCTGAAATCGTTTACCAATAGATACTCTTCCATTTTCAATACCTTCCAAACTGATATTTAGGTGTCACGGAAACACAAAATGAAATCGATTTATGTAAAATACTGTCAGTATTCTTCAATTCTAAAATATTTCCAAGCCTAATTAGTTCATCACATGTTACTTGTATTTGTTTGTTTTGATTTTGAGAGACAGAAAGTTTATTTGACTTCCCGTTACGTGTCTGTCAGCTGCAACCGTGACTCCATTTTTGCTGTATTCAAGTACAAATTGTTAAAGGCCTAAGGTTTAAAGAGAGGCAGACTCAAATACGCTTCTCGGTTTCACCGTGAAGATATGCCTGATGTGATTCCATTTCAGATGTTTCGTTTTTAAGGACATGACTAGTTTCAGTATTGTATTCGACACTAAGTGATGGTCTATGAAGAATTGGTAACACAGGCACACTACCCCACCGATCTGATCAGTAAGTAGTATATAACGCAACGCATCGGTATTTACAGTATTCAGTTATTTTCTTCCAGAAAATAACTGTAAAATCTCTTTAGTTTCTATTTCCATGTAAACAGCAGAATAAGGGGAGAGAAAAAACAGGAAGAGGAGAAAAAGTTAATTTCTTTAGAATCATTTTAACTAATAGAATAATCTGATTAATAATAATAATAATTAACAAGAAATAAATAAACTGCTTAAACTCCGTAATTTCATTAATTCTGGGAATAATTTCAAACAGATGAGAAAATCAATAAACACAGAGTCCAGGCAAAGAAGTACACATGTAACTCTATTCAAAATAATATTAGAAGATTATCATTCCATGATATGTTTATCTACAGAGTACAGAATTCTCAGTGCGTTTTACTTCAAAGTGTCTAGTTAAATAAAAATAATCATGATCGATAAAACATCAATCATTTAAAGCAATGTTGTTCCATCCAAAGCACGCTCTAGTGCCTGACAATGTTTTTCCCTCATCTCTTTTGGTAAAATGAGTATGAGTACAGATTGCGACTCAAAGAATTAATAGGATAATCAGAACCACATAAAACTACAGTAGTATGTAGTAGCATATTCGTTAACTACACACCTGATCAGAGTTAGATTCCTGTCCGATGCACTCCTCAACCTAGTTGAGTAGGTATTAAATCTAGTAAAGAGGGAAGACTGGACGTTTCGTAAAAATAGGAAAAGTTATCACTTTTGATATATTGAGCAAGATTAAAATGACTTGAATTTATTTCGTAGGTTCTCCTCAGCTGCGTACAACCATGGACAATTTCACGTCAGCACACAAAATATTTGAAAACTCTAGTAATTTACCGTAAAAGTGATAGATATTAATATTACGTGATTATAGCGTAAAATATATCTACCAAGGTAAAGCAAAACTAACAATGGTTTTCTTCTAGATTCATAAATTCAGTTGTTTAATAAGAGTCGCTTCTATGGGACGTAGTGAACTGCAGCTATCTTGAACACTAACTATCTTAAAGGATTTTGACGCATCGAAAACTAAAGTATTTGAACATCTTTGTTATGGTGGTCAGTGTGCAATCTGAAAACTAACCAATCAGAATTGGTCTACGCAAGAGATCGATATTCAGTCTGGAAATAAACCAATCAGAATTCACCTCAGTAAAACAGTGCCCACTATTTTATTGGCCATGAAAACAGACTAATTGACATAACTTTCATGATATTTTGAATCATACTCGACTGTGTAAAATATACTTTATGGTTCACATCGTTGTGTTATCGTTTAAGTAGAACAGGCTAGAGAAAACAGGTAACTATCGAATAACGTTGTTGGCTTTGTCAACCGACACTAGAGACCAGCACTTCTAAGTTCAGCATCAGCGTCCCTATCCTATTCTACTTCGGTCTAAATGTTATTAAACGATCAGGTTGCTTATTTATAATAATTTTCTATACTGTTATTAAATAGTTCATGGCTTTACTCAGCTGACAAGAACTACAGAAATTTAATAATTATCATTTCATCCTGCTCAATGTGTTTTTCTTGCTTCGAGCAAATTTATCATTGGAAATAATCCTTTGAAATAGCACCATTACTGATATTTCAAAGCTTAAAGTTTGTAGCTTCGTGTTCCACTCAGAAAGTAAAGGGATAGGATTTAATTTAGAATAAATCAGGCAGATTCTGATGAATAGAAAATTAAGTAGCCCAGTGATTCAAACTGGTAGCTATCACGTTCCGGCTTCAATATTCGTTCACCTTAAGATTTCAGCAATGAGTAGTAACATGAATCATTCAGAGGAAAGTGAAAGTATATTGCCAAGTTATTTTTAGCAAATCTAATCTCTTTCAATTTCCCTCTTCATCAGCTTCTGCCAGTAACCAACTACTTCTCAATAAGGTATAAGTGACTATTTAAATTTGACATGAAAATACAGAGTTTATTCTTTATTTATTTTTATCTCATGTGAATGTACATGCATACATACATGCATGTAACTGAATAAC